TTCAGATGCTGCCCATCCTCCTCCTGCAGGAAACATCAGCATTCATTTGTGGTATTTTCCATAATATGTAGCTGGTGTGTTACGGAGGGCAACAAGCTAGTCGGCAGGAATTAGTAATAATGCAGTAAAATATGTATATGTTATGGTGAGAGTATGACACTTCTTCCTGCTTCTTCCTGCACAAACGAAGCAGCAGTGACCGGAAAATCAATTTGACTTTCGGCTTTTATGGGGTTGGAACTTGCAGCTGGACATAAAAAACAGGCATAAATAACTTTTTTTAAGAACATCAACACTAACACAGTGTGCACAAAGCCATCAGTAAAGGGCTGTATCTGCTGTGGACCTTCTCACACCACACACATTATTCACTACATGCTGAATAAGTTCAAAAGATGCTGTGTGACTGTTCTGTCTGTACCAAAAAAGAGTCTGTGTTAATCTTCTCCTCCTTTCCGGGTGTGTTTTTTGGAGGTAAAGGAGCCTTCACAATGTCACTCCATTTAGGCTCTGCAGGAGCTAGAGGTGTGGATGATGGTGCACCAAAAATAAGACTGACAGTTTGCTGATCAGACGCAGGCAGAGATGCTGAGGCAGGTTCCACAGGGCTGAAGGGCTTCAGATGCTCAGCTGAATAAAACGCATGGCAAGAAGGAGATAAAATGGAATAATTTACCTGAATTGAAGACCATACGACAAACACAAGTACTTAAAATATTGCAACTGAAAATTATGTGCAAAAGAATGCTGTCATGTTTAATTGTCATTGACTAATGTGACAATTAACCATGACAGCAGAAAATTACTTCGTGGGAGCATGTCAGCTGCAGGAGCCACACTGCTGGTCTGAACTTCTCCAGGAGAAAAGGAGAAAGAAGAGAAAAGACATAATATCTTGCATTTCTATTACATTATTGTATTCCTGTAAAATATAAACATTTGTGGGAGTTTGTCAATTACCTTAGGCAAAGTTTTGGTTTTTTTTTTTTGTTTTTTTTTACATATGGAGTCCTGTTTTTTTTTAAAAATGCCCAAGTGATATACATTTTTTTTAAAAATTATATATGATTTTTTTTTTAAATCTGAATATACAGTATTATTTAGTAGAAAACTAACAATCCATGCCTTCATTTCTCCATCTGACGTGTGTGTTTAAAAGGTCGAGCACTAATCTTACATGAGATGGTATAATGTATTTGATTTCATGTCCACGCTGCTTATGACACCTGATGCATCATATGATAAAAGGTTTATACTAAATATAAGATTATTTTATTCAGAATGTATCAGTAATTCAATATTCAAAATATTTCACCACTGAACATTTCAAATTACTATCATTTTATTTTAGACAAACATGAAAAAAAAAAAAACTGGATAAAATTACTCAATACCTTACCTTATATTTTCTTAGCAAAAATGCTGTGCAGGAACAGCCATATGAAACGATTCATTAGTAAGCTAATGTAGACATTGACTTTTTCTTCTTTTCTGCATAAACTTAATGATAGTGTGGGTTTCTCTGGGGAATCCAGTGCATGCGCAGTAAAACTACACTGCATCTGAACCTGGGAAAATTTAATTTATGATCTGAATCTGAAATAAATTAGGTTTTTTAAAAAAAAAATCACACAAAATAAATCAATAATATTAAAACAATCACATGTGGAAAAATAAAACCCCACATGCACTCCATGTGAAAAATCCATATGAGAAAGTGTGTGAAACATAAGATGTGAAGCATCTACAAACTACATGTCTTAAAATTTCTTATGTGAATCAGATGATTATTCTAAATGTAACTGGATGAAAAAAAAATTGATCATCAATTAAGCTACACACAGTGACAGCAGTATCTGTTTAACGCTGTACACGCCAATCAGTCCTCAGTCCTAAAAAACTCAAGACTGAAAATGTTTAGTCAGTTTGTGTGATTAGTGTTCATACCAGAATGTCTGCCATTTAAAAATCCTAAATCAGGGTGTCCTTTGAGGATAAGACTGGACACCCTGGTTCTAAAGACCTGTTGCTATTCATTATTTTCACTACACCTTGCTTTTGTAACTTTTGTAACGCAAAAGTGAAAGGATATTCAGCCACTGACTTTTGATTTTATCCACAGAGTATGAAAAGGGGCCTTCAAAAGCCCCTGTTTACAGTCAGTTCTGGTTGATGAGTGCCGGTTTGAAAGACTGCATAACCTCGGATTTTTTGGCAGGTGAACGATGACTTTAACTCTTCGTTAACTAAAACTCTGAACAATGTGCAAAAAACATTGTAATATAATATTTGAATAATTTTAGATAGATTGAATAATTCTTGTCTTCTAATGTGATATACAGTATGTTTCAAACATTGCCAGCTCAGGAACATATTCATTGCGTAGTTTCAGAATGGGGGGAGGAGTCATCCTGGAAGTTGGAAACAGAAACCTTTCGGAATTGGGTAAAGGGGATCCCTCAGAAGAACTTGTGTAAAAAGTGTCAAAAAAATTACCTTGTAAATTTACAGTAACTTACTGTTATTACTGCCATTTTTGTGAATAGTAATGGCACATTGCACTGTCTTTTCATAAAGAAGAGAACTGTATTTCTTTCAGGCAGTATACTACTTAATAAACACTGCTTCAGTGTTACAGCTACTGAATAGTGATGTTTTAAATCCATTACTACCAAATATATAGCTTATATCTGAAAGAGTCAAAAACTCCAAGACTAAATAAAATATTTTAATTAAATCAATCATTTCAGTTCAGTTCTCATATCACATAAAACATGATAATAACTGAAATGAAAGATAACATTGAGAACAATGTGACAAAATCAATGGGTCACAATCCCGAATACCACAGAAGAAAATCAGGATGAAAATAAGCTTCATGGGTTATCTATAAGTACATATGGGTGTGATGTCAGGTGTCCACAAACGTTTGGCCATATAGTGTATCAGCCTAGCTAGCAACTTTATTTTCCTTAAGTTTACTTCCCGTTTAAACTTGCTGCACATAACCTGTCTCATCAAATTAAGCATAACTTATAACAAAATGTGTAGATAGATAGATAGATGTCAGTGTCAGTAGAGAATGACAGTGTCAGTTGAGAAGCTATCATGAAGTAAATGTCATATACGGGCAGCATGAAAAAATAAACCATAAAAGATTCTTAACAGCTGCAGTGGCAAAATATGTTTTTCTATGTATCACACACACACACACACACACAGTCAGGTCCGGAAGTATTTGGACGATAACAGAGTTTTTGTGGTTTTGCCTTTATACACCACCACAATGGATTAGAAATAAAAAAAAATCAAGATGTGATGGAAGTGTAGACTTTCAGCTTTATTTTAAGAGGTTCCACAAAAATATGGCATTTACCATTTAGGAATTACAGCCATTTTAAACAAAGTACTTCCATTTTCAGGGGCTCAAAGGTATTTGGACAAAGTGACTGACAAGAAGTTAATTGACCAGGTGCGGTCCATTCCCTCGTTACTTCAAGACAAATTAAGTAGATAAAAGGTCTGGAGTTGATATCAGGTATTGAGTTGGCATTTGGCAGCTGTTCAACTGGAGCTACCAATATGAAGTCCAAGGAGATCTCAATGCAAGTGAAGGAGGCCATCATTAGGCTCAAAAAACAACATAAATCTATAAGAGAGAGAGCAAAACCTTAGGTTGGGTACATTCTTAAAAAGAAAGAAAGCACTGGTGAGCTCAACAACATCAAAAGGTCGCCTCATCTCAACCCAATAGAGCTGCTTTTCACTTACTGAAGACAGGACTGAAGGCAGAAAGACCCACAAACAAGCAGAAACTGAAGATGGATAAATGGATATGGTAAATGCCATATTTTTGTGGAACCTCTTAAAATAAACTGAAAGTCTACACTTCGATCACATCTTGATTGTTGGTGTATAAAGGCAAAATCACAAAAACTCTGTCATTGTCCAAATACTTCCGGACCTGACTGTATATAATGAGATATATATATATATATATAAATTGCCCTCAGTCAGAAACTGTAATGAGCTTTGATAAAAAGTTTCAAAATCTCAGAATATATCACATATTGTAGGAGTTATTCTTTTTTAAGCAGTGGACCAATAATGTTGGAGTTGCCAGTACATCAACATCCTATGACTGTGACACTGAACACTAAATCGACTTCATGCAGCAGCAAGATGTGATAACAAAAGAGGGAAACATTCAAAAAGGCAAACTAATATAATACAAACCTTCGCCTGTTCACGCAAGGAGCTGAGATGGAATGGCTTTCTAGTGTAATGGCCCCATCTTCTGTTTAGAAATAAAATTGTCTTCACTTCTGAAAAAATAGCTGCTAAGGATCCTGGCTCCTCAGTTATCAGTATCCCACAGAACGGTTCTAAACCTCCTAACAGTTCAGACAGTAAAATACAGATACAACAAATGTACACACACATAGCATACAAGTACAAGTGTAAGCAATTAATCTTAATAAAAATCTAGGCCTATCGTTCACCTTGCCCATGCTGCTCATTTTGTTACAGACACGGCCAAAAAAATCGTATATGGTACACTTTATGGCCAAAAGTTTGTGGACTGTTGCCACAAAGTTGGAAACATAATTGTATAGAATGTCACTGGAACAAAGGGGCCCAAATCTGTTACAACATGACAATGCCCCTGTGCACAAAGCGAGCTCTGTGAAGACATGATGTGAGAAGGTTGGAGTGGAAGAACTCGAGTGTCCTGCACAGAGCCCTGACCTCAACCCCACTCAACACCTTTGGGATGAACATATGGGTGTTATAATCAGCTGTCCACAAACATTTGACCATAGAGTATCCATAGTACATTTTATTAGTCAATTCAGAAGATACAATGTCATTTCATTGACAGGAAATTCAAAAAAGTTTCCACATGCCCTAGGTTAGAGGGAAGCTGGGGTCAGCCATGAAACAGCTCCCCTGTAGCAGATATGGTTAAGGGCCTTGCTCAAGGGCCCCAACAGTAGCAATGTGGTGGTGCTGGGGCTTGAACCCCTGATTAGCTGCTCAGTAACCCAGAGCCTTAACCATTCAGCTACCACTACCCTAAACCAATGACCTCTGTGTTATATGCCCTGCACGCTTCCGCTGCACCACTCTGCTAACCACAAACTGACTGGAAGGAGCAGAGGAAGCACAGACACCAAAGCAACTGAAGCAGAGATTTTGTGTTCTGTGTAATATTAATTGGTGTCGGGGAACTGTATAAAGGTCGGGTCAAGAGAAATGATGACATCTGACACTGCAGCCACAGTCCTACTCAGTGATGGTTGGGAAATGCCCTCTGTATTGCAGAAATGTAAACTGATGCCCGTTTTTACAAATCCCACACACTGTGTTGAAAGGTTCACTCACACACTTAAGGCACAGATTTGTGTGTGATAAATGAGAGCCCTGGATTCAACAAACTGTCACTGTGTAACATTTTAGCTCCTGCAAACACAGAGCGGTTTGTTCAAGTGGTTCATCCTACCATTATTGTTCCTGTTTAGATTTAAAAATCTTCAGACGTACAACAGATGAATTTGATTAGTTTCACCATGCATTTGAAATGGAAAAAAATAACACACACACACACACGGACCTCATGCCTCCAAGTCGGGTGCATAAAACACCGCCACAACCAACAACAACAACAACAATAATAATAATAATAATAATAATAATAATAATAATAATAATAATAATAATGATAATGATGATGATGATGATGGTGAGCCACAGGTGACCCCGGAAGTGACGTCACGGCACAGAGCTGATTAAGATGGCGCTCCGGCCCGGATCAGGGGGAGGTGGCAGGTACAGAAAACCGTCAATTGAACGTTTTGTCGTTGTTTGTTTTTTATGTAACCTTGTGGGTTCCAGTAGTGAAATGTGTATTTATTCATCTGTGAGCTCGGTTAAAGGTGGTTTTGGTGTTAGGCGCTCATTTTTTTAAGTGCAACATCTTCTGTGCTGGCTGGCTAGCTCGCGGCTAAGCTAGCTAGCCTTTGGTTGTCAGTTTGCTGTAGTTACACTGATATAGCAGGCTAGCGAAGCTAACAGGCTAAGCGTATTGTTGTGTTGCCTACTAGCAGCAGTGTCATTATGCCAGCTGTCGCGCGCATGTTTTGGTGTGTGGTTTAAAATCGCATTTCTGTGGCACGAATGTTAACAGCGGTGGTTTACAGACACGCAGGAGTGGTTAGGCAGCCTGCCGGTTCATGACGACACCCAAACACCGGCAGGCTCCTGCAGAGGACCAGGTGTTTTTCCTGTAACGGCGCTGACACCTGCACAGAAGCCGCTTTCCGTCAGTGTAGAGGAGCTGGATGTCTTCAGCTCTGCTGGACAGTGGGCAGAGGAGCTGATCTGCTCAAGGCCACAAGATGTGCTCTTACAGCCGGGTTCACTTCTCCTTCGTCACATCTGATTGTCAGATGTTTAAACTCGGGTGTAACTGACATGGACATGTTTATGTTCATGGCTCTGGAATGTTCTGGTTGTGGCCTGAGTCTTTATCTGTGTCACAAAAAGGAGAGGAATTAAAATAGGTCTAAGGATTAGATGGCCAACGCCTCGAAAGCTGATAAAGGGAGCTGGATCAAGAACAGCTCTCTCAACACTTGATATTTATTTCAGACATTATCTTAAAAGCCCATCATGTCCATGGTTGCTGGTTGTGAGTTTGGACAGCATCCTGGCTAAACTGATCATATATACGCACTTCTGTGTGCACTGACCCTGTAAATGTGTAGATACTGAAACCTGCTGGAGTTTTCACGTACAGAAAGCCCTTACACTGTTAAGTAAAATCCCACATTCCCCTTTTATAAATGCAGTACATTTTCATTTTATGAATATATAATCAAATGCTTTGAGCATTTGGTCATGATACTTATTCATTGGAGTGTTTTTTTCTGAACTTTCCATCCACAAAAAAACAGTTGCACTGGGTTAAAAGGTAATGAGTCTAGACATTTACTTACATTTACTAGAATATCTATTTAGAGTCACATTTATTAGACTAGTTTAATTTCAATTTAAGTGAACAATAAAATTGCAGATCTCCTGGCTATGTCACAGATACCTGGGGATTTGAAGGCCCTATTTAGTGTGTTGAATTCAGCAACACTACGATGACCTAGGTCTATGTCTTTCAGAAAGTTTAGTCTGGTTATTTATTTATTGCCAGAGCTTTAGCCTCTGCTGAATGGCTTAAATAATGAATGTTCATCTCCACGCACCACAGCGCCTGGTAATACTGATCCGGCTGGTGAAACAGAGTGACCAATATGCTCTGAACGGTGCACTGACGTCTTATTAAGCAACGTATAAATACTAGATTACACATATATCCCTGACCTTTGATGCGCTCTCATGCATGACTCCGAAAAGGTCTTTGTCGGGATGTGGTGAGTGAGCGTAAGGATTTTACTGTGATCAAAAATTGTCTTGACTGCAAAAATACACTGTACCAGCAATGTCTTACTGTTCTTTTGGTTTTCTTGTTTAGTCAGCGTGACCGCAGCTCAGCTGGTGCTCCTGAAGCTGATTAAGCAGGTTGGAAGTGGAACCTGATCTAAATGTTAAGCAGTCAAGCCAGACCAGCCTTAGAAAGGCACAACAAGCTGCTTGTGTAAACAGTCAGGGATGCTGGTTTTGAGGTGGTTTTAAACAAAATTGTGTGCATTATGAATGGTCCCACTTCCATTTGCTGGAATAGTAAAAAATTATGTCATCATAAAAAAATGATCAGGATGAATTGTTCATGTGATAACTGCTTTCTTTCCTTAATTCCTTAATTAATGCTATGTTCAGTTCTTTGGAAGACAAAGTCTCTAAATAAAAGCTTAAATACCATTTTATATTAGATGCCACTTGTAGTTCCATTGTATTTGGTTGTTCATCTTAAAGCGTATTATTCAGTGATTGCTTCTATGGTAGTGGTCAAAGGCAAGCAACGTAGTTCCAAGGGTGAAAAATGTAAGTCTGGACCTGTTGATGGCTCCTGGGAGTTTAAGTGGTTAAGTAAGTTAGCTTGAAGATTTTTTTTTTTTCCATATTTTTTTCGATATAGTAGTGAAAAGGATGATTTAGGTTAGCTGATTGTATTTGTTGATGGTGAATGCTCAGAAACTCCCCTGTCCCTTATATCACTGCAGATTTCTTTCCTGTTAATGTTTGGACTTAATCCGCTGTTACGTTCTTTGTGTAGCGATACAGCTACATTGGGAGCTGCGTAAAGCTGTAAATCTGTAAGCTGGCAGATGCATCACTGAGCGGCTCTGGGCCAACAGCTGGTGTAATGGCCTTACAGAATGTTTTTCATCACACAGACATAAATTCGACATTCAGCTACCACTGTCCGCATGGTAGATCAGAGAAACAGTCGTGCATGCAAAACGCATGTGGACACCTGACCATCACACCCATATGTGGTTCTTCCCCAAACTGTTGCCACAAAGTTGGAAACACGCAATTGTATAGGATGCCTTTGAATGCTGTAGCATTACAGTTTCCCTTCTCTGGAACTAAAGGGCCCAAACCTGTTCCAGCATGACAGTGCCCCTGTGCACAAAGCGAGCTCCATGAAGACATGGTTTGTCAAGGTTGATGTGGAAGAACTTGAGTGTCCTGCACAGAGCCCTGACCTCAACCCCACTCAATGCCTATGGGAGGAACTGGAACGTACCTCAGATCTTCTTGTGAATGGTCCAGTGCCTGATGCTCTTGACTGAATGGTCAAATCCCCACAACCACGCTCCAGAATCTAGTGGAACGCCTTTCCAGAAGAATGGAGGTTATTATTACAGCAAACAGGGACTAACTCTGGAATGGGATGTTCAAACAGCACATATGAGTGTGATGGTCAGATCTCCACATACCGTTGGTGATATAGTGTACAAGTGTCCAGCTGTTTTTAAGAATTGGCAGTGATTCAAGTGATAACTGTCTCCTGGTTGACCACAAGCAAGTATGACATATTAACTGCTTAGTAGTGCTGCAAAACTAGCACCAAAGCAGCTCATCTCTTTTGTCTTCATTTCTTTCTAGTTTCATGTACCCTGTTGGAGGGGGACTTGGACCACCACAAGGTAAGATGATTGTGTACAAGCATTCTGACAGTGTGTTACAGCTGCTCTCTTGGATCTAGAATATTAAGCTTTTGTATAAAGAGTATTATAGAATTATATTTGGTTATACAATGTAGAAAAGATCCACTCTGAAACAGTAATTTATTATTTTTTTCTTTCTGGAAGTCCATCATACAGTATAATGTGATACAGAAAAATCCAATACACAGCAGTGCATGTGCGTTGTACCGCATATGCCAGATGTTTAGGTTAAAAGCACTGAATTTAGCAATAGAATTTGGGTTGTGATCATTTGCATAACTGACCTTCGACTATAGCGTATAAGCATTTAATGTGTTTTTGCACAGACCTTTTAATATATGTATTACTTTGTGTAAAATATTTATATACTGTAGAGTGATATTATAAATAGTGCTGTAAATCAGAGCTGTGATTGTTGTCATTGTAATTCGAATATTAAGTATTCAGTATTCTGACTGCTGTCCGCTGTACGATTCCCGACAGGAATGATGCCCATGCCGCAGCAGCAGCAGCAACAGGGATTTCCCATGGTCCCAGTCATGCAGCCCAACATGCAAGGCATGATGGGAATGAACTTTGGAGCCCAGATGCCTGCTGGACCAATGCCCATGCAGGTTGTTATTAAGACGAGAAGAATTTTCTTTTTCCAGAGCACCTAATGCTGAGTGCCCACTACATGATTTTAGCTTTGATCACGTAAATAAAATCATGATATTCAGTGATGTCCAAATATGATGACACAAAGAGTGTAAAATCATTTGTGAGCACCTTTTCTTCCTAAGTAACATGGCATGCAGTCATAATGTAATCAGAGCAAGATATAATGACTATGTATAGTAGTCATTATATATGTGGTGGCCTGGGAAAACCCTTCACTTGGTGAAATCTTAAGATTTTCTGCTATATATAGTTCTGAACTCCAGGTGTTCCTGGACTGAAATATGGTT